CATGGGGCCAGGAGCGGGCAGTCATGCGGGCTACGCCGCGCCGCTGAGCATGGCGGCGCCCTCGTCGCGGTACAGCATGTCGTCGGTCTCGTCGTCGAGCACCGCCGGCTCGCTGCCGCCCTACGGCTACAGCAGCGCACCGCACTCGGCGTCGTCGGCCAATCACCTCGGCGCTCTGCCCGGCTCGTCGTCGCCTGGCTTTGACGCGGCCGCCCACCCTTCTGCATCGAGCCTCGGTGGCGGCGCCGATGCAAGGCCGTACACTGCTGGAGCCTCGAACCAGTCCGGCACCACCTCGTACCCATCTGGCGGCCTCGGCGCATACCTCATGGCCCATCGCGGCAGCATCTAGCGCCGTCCCGGCCGGCCCTTCGGCGCGTAGGTCCATGCACGTCAGCGTTGTCGACCGCACCCACGCTGCCCGTCGCACGCATCCTCCAGCAAGTGCGCCTGCTCCGTCGCCGCGGGCTCACCTATGTACCAACGGATCCTCCTCCTTCCCAGTCCCCTCTCTTCTCTCCTCCCTCTCTGCTCTCCATGCACCCGCCTACCGTCCGCACTCTGCTAGATCCGCGCCGCTGCCCTCTGCCTCTCTCCCTCGCATTTTCCCCCATCTCGTCGTACAGTCCATGCCGCCTCTTGTTCCCCCCTCGCATCCCAGCCGGACAGGATCACGGAGGACCTCCCCCGCGCCCCGTGCTCCGTGCACCCCCGACCCTCGCACCATGCGCAGGCTGCTCCTCGTTGCCACCTCGAGATCGTCGCCACTCCCCCTCTCCCCGCGCTCCTACCTAGACACCCTCCTTGCCCCGCTTTTACACACTGCTCTGCTCTAATACCATCCCAATCTGCCCTCATCCCTCGCTCTCGCGCGCGTCGAATCCACGGGCGCACTCTCGTCGTCAAGGGTGCAATGTGCGTGCATTGCGGAGCGACGGCAGGGTGAGACGTGCGGATGGCAGTCCAAGGAAAGACGTGCAGGGTACGATTCCAACGTGCCGAGAAGGGGCTAGACCGGCGGCGGCGGCGGTGGCGGCGGCGACATCATCTCAGGGCGACTGCCTGTGCGCCCTGGTGCCGAATACCAAGGCGAGGCGAGCTACAATCACCCGCACCACGACAAGAAAGGAAACGGGACTGGCTCGAGCCAGAGCCGACCGCGCTAGGCGGCCGACCCCTGCTGCAGCGCCAGCAGCGATCGGCTCCACTGGATGACCTTGGGGTGGGCCATGACCTTGGCCGGGTTGAAGCCCATCACCTGGAGGCCCTCGAGCGACGTGGCACGCGAAAGGGCGACGTAGGCCTGGCCCTTTTCAAAGACGCGGTTGAGGTTGATGCGGCAGCACTGGAGCGTCTGGCCCTGCGACTTGTGGATCGACATGGCCCACGCCAGGATGAGGGGCACCTGGGTCCGCGACGCCTGGATCTCGCCCGTCGGCAGCTCGTTTTTCCAGCTCTCGGGCTTGGCGAGGTAGTCGCGGAAGCCGCTGTCGTTGGGCAGCCGGAAGCGCACCAGCGGCCACTTGCGCTGCGACGCGCGGTTGAGGGCGTTGAGCTTGTTGCCCTCGTCCTTTTCGTCGATGCGCCCCAGCCCGCGCTCGACGTACTCGCGCTCGTCGACAAAGTCGAGCACCAGGCCGACCGAGCCGTTGACGAGCGTCTCGTCGACGTTCTTGATCAGCATGACCTGCGCTCCGACCTTGAGCGTGAGGCTCTTGAGCGCGATAAAGTTCTGCAGCACCCGCTCGCGCCCGTCCCTCTCGAGCGAGCCGCCGTCGGTCGCCGGGAAGGTCTCGGCCTTGCTCGGCAGCGCCTGCAGCCGTTCGAGGTTGGCGCGGTCGACCTCCTCGCGCCGCGGAAAGAGCTCCGTGGGGACGATGCCCTCGTCGTAGACCGGCACGCGCTCCAGCGACTTGAAGGCCTTGATCGTGGCGGGCGACAGCTGGCCGAAGCGCATCTCGTTGAGCATCGTGACGAACCTCGAGTCCTTCTGTCGGAAGACCTTCGTCAGGTTGACCTGGTGCGCCACCACGCTGTCCCAGCTCTTGGCCTCAAAGGCGAACGTCATGCCGCCGCCTGGGTTGACCGGGGGCAGCTGGAAGAAGTCGCCCGTGATGACGACCTGCAGCCCGCCAAACGGCTTGTTGCTCTTGCGCACCACCCGCGCCACCTCTTCGAGCTTGTCAAAGAGGTCCGGGTCGACCATCGACACCTCGTCCATGATCAGCACCTGCGTCCGCAGCCAGCGCGAGTTGGCCTTGCGGTTGCGCCGGATCTTGGTCACCAGCTGCGCCACAGGCTCCTTGCCCAGGCCGATGCCGCTGAAGCTGTGCAGCGTCACGCCGCCGATGTTGCACGCGGCGATGCCCGTCGAGGCCGTGACGGCGACGGCGTCCTGCTTCTTGCTGTGCACCTGCTTGAGCTCGCGGATGATCTCGCGAAGCAGCACCGACTTTCCCGTACCAGCCGAGCCCGTGAAGAAGACGTTCTTGCGCTCCCGCACCACCATGTCGAGCACCGCGCGCTGCTCGGCCGAGAGGAAGACCTTGCTGGGCACCTTGGGCCGCTGGCCAAACGCCGGAGCCTCCATGACTGAGCCGGCCGACCGACGCTCCTCTTTGAGCTGCGCGGCCGACTTGAGGTACGAAGCGCCGCCGCTGGTGCCCGACGACGACAGCACGTTGGCCTGGTTTGAGCCAGCCAGAGGGCCACTCCGGGCGCGCGCAAAGTTGGCCGCCAGGTCCGACGACGGCGATGGCCGCTGGTACGACTGGAACGACTTGCTGCTGGAGCTGGGAATGGGCTGGTTCTGCGGCTGCGTGCTCTTGTTGAAGTTGCGCTGCGGATCGTTTGCCGGACGGCCGAGCGTCGACGGCAGGCTCTGCACCCTGCCGGACACCAGGTCCGAGGCCGAGACGAATCCGCTCCTCTGTGGCGGCGCGGCGGCGCCTGCAGATCCCTCATCGCTCTTGCGCCGCTTGGCTGTCGTCGGTGGTATGGGGGAAGGGGTGGCGAGCGCGGTCAGCCTTTGCCGTCGTCTGGGGTGCGAACTCGGCGTTGAGGACCGCAGAGATCTCCGGCCCTGCGATTCGAGCACTTACCCTCTGGCTCTGCTCCGCTATTCGCAGACAGCAGTTTCTTTGCACGCGGCGAGCCGGGTGGCGACGGCGTGTCAGACCATTCGTAGAAGATTTCCTGGCTCGAGGCGGTCTCGAGGGGCTTTGATGTGGCGGCGGGCTCGCCGAGGTCGTGCTGGTTGCCGGACCACGTCCTCTTGAGGTTACCAAGGCCGGACCTAAGCATGCTGGGTGTGAAACGAGCGGGGTTGCGACTTGGCGGGGCCTGCGATGGAGGAGGGGGGCGGGTGCTGGTGGATCGACGGAGTGCGCCGGTGTGTGGCGGTGGCAAGACGGTGGTGGGAGGGTCGAGACGGGTCTGGTCCTTGAGCGCAAGGGAAGCGGCGTCGGCGGCGGTCCGAGGTGGGGGCTGGGCCAGGGGGCAGACGAGGGTCGGGTGTTGGTCGTGATGGCAACGAGCCAGGCAGCGGCGAGTCCGTTGTGCTGTTGTTTGGCCAGAGTGTCGAGGGTCGTCGGGCCATCCGCTGGCCAGCCACCGAGAGAGGGATCCACCCGCTCGCCCCTAGGCAGGTCCAGGAATTTTGGACCCACCGACCAACACACGGCCGGCCTGGATGCCTGCAGGCCAGCCCAGCCCAAGCCCAGCCAGGCCCTCCCTCCGAAGCAGGCGAGGCCTGGCGTGTCGCGAGCTCAGGCGCGCGTCGTGAGGCTGACCCTGGCCAGGTCAAGCCTGCCTGCCACCCTATCCGGGTGAGCCTGCTCGGCTCCGAAGCATGGTCAGCATCCTCCCGACGGCGGTTCCTCGAGCATAGCTGGCTTAGGATGGTATTGCAGACTTCTGTTGCCATTCTTCAGCCACCAGCAGTCGTCCGTATGATACGATTGCCACCGATTCGTCGTGCGTTGCGGCTTCGAGATCCGGAATGGCCGAGCGGGTGGAAGCCGGTCAGTAGCAGGGTAAAATCGGTGGTCGCCCTTCGCCTCGAAAAGCGCTCGGAAAATCCCGACGAAATCCACCGGCTGGCGATCCGACGCCTTTCCCCGCGCCTAAGCACTTCAATCAGGCGGTCGATGGCGTAGAGCGAGCCACGAGCGCCGTTTCCATAGGTCGACAGTCCGGCCAAAGCCAGACGAGACGCGATAGAAGAGGCAGAGGGGAGGCGGATGAGGAGGGCCAGGCTGAGCCGTGCCGGAACCGAGACGGAGTCGTGCTCATCGGGGGTCCAAGGGTTTGGGCCACCCCTCGGTACCATCGGGCGGCGCTTACGAGGTGTCGAACTCGGCTCCGGCCCGCCGGCTGCCTTTTCCGGGATTTCTTCGTGGGGCGTGGCACCCGCCCCTCGCCCCTCGCTCCCGAAGCAGGTCCTGGTCATCGTCATCCCTGCTCGCATGCCACCTCGCCACCACCACCGACTCTGCGCACCTCGTCACTCACACACCATCTTCGCACGAGAGGCAACGTCGCTCATGATGTCTGCAATCGGGTCATCGCTCCGCCAGCAGGCGCGATCCCTACTCCAGGCCGCTCGGACCGCGCCTACGTCGAGCCTCGCAAGCACCTCCAGGGCCCTGCCCGCAATCCGGTGCCTCTCGACTTCGTCGCCCCTTGCAAGCAGCCGTGTCAAGCCTAGATCACAGCAACAGGCCCGCTCCAATGCGCCCCCCATAAAGCAGACCGAGAGCCTCTTCACCGGCATCCTCGACACCCTCATCGTCGGATACAGCAACCACGAGGTGGCGCACCGGCCATCTGGAAACATGGTCGATTACGCCGGCAATCTCGAAGAGGGATGGAGCACACGCCTGGCCCACGGCGAGCCATCGTGGCCCTGTACCCCCTACAGCGGAAGGAGCATCACCATTGGGCCCCAGTCGGACCCGGCGCGCGCTTACGGCCAGCTCTCGGTGCTCTTGCGGCGAAACAATGTCCGGAACGAGCTCAGGCTCCAGCAGCGGTACGAGAAGCCCAACGAGGAGAGGCGGCGGAAGAAGAGCGAGAGGCACCGCAGAAGGTTCGCCGACATGGTCAGGAAAAAGGTCCAGCTGGTGAGTACCCGCACAGCCCTCGTCGTCATGGCAGCTCGCCGCGACCTCGCTGCTGACGCTGTGCGTATCCATCCTTCCGCTTCCACCCGCCTGTCGTCAGGTGATGGCCATCAAGGCTCGGGGCGCCTGATTTCAGCTGGGTGTCGGCAGACTTGCGGCAGCCTAGGTCGGCACTGGCCGAGTTCTTCCGGGTGCAATCAAAGTACTGCCCTCGACATGGCTCCATCCACCTGGCCACTGCGCGTGTGAGCCCCAGCGGGCGTCGGTTGCGTGTCCGATGAATTCCGGAAGCTGCGAAGATGACAACGGCAAGGTTGCCACGATGCTCCTCGCTTTCCAGAGGCTCAGCAGTAAATCCGACCATGGCTGTGACAGCAGCCGGTCGCCGCGCCAAGCTGGGACCCGCAGCCTGAAGCCGCCAAGCAAGGGCCTCTTGCCACGACGCCCTGCGGAGCGAGCCGGAAGCAGTGTCTGCGGCTGACACGTTCTGCCATTGCCCGTCGGTGGGGCGAGCCTGGTTTCGGATGCAAGCCGCAAGCGTGTCGGCCCGCCTCTTGGCTCAGCGGATGCTCCATCCGGCCCTCCTCCGGGTCGATCTCCTGACGTCGTTCCCGCTTCGTGTGAATCGCGCCTGAACCGTACCGTGACCGACCAACGCACGGCACCATGGCCAGAGATCTCTGTCGCTGCTGGCTGCCAGATAGACATCCCGCTTGGATCGTGCTGCATCGGGCTCCTTCGCACTTCCACTGCCGAGCATCGGCTGGTCCCGAACGGACCGCCGGCTCTTTCCTTACGGCACACGTACCGTCTCCATACGTGCCAAGACGGCGGTCGCCGCGTCCATCCTGCCTCCCACCCTCTCTCCGCGAAGAACTCGCCGGCCAACAATCGAGCCGAACGACGCGATAAACCTCTCGACTGCCCTAGCACGCCGCGCCGGGCTCTTTCGTCGGCGATGACACTCGTCGGCGGCAGCGAGATGCGGATGGGCGAGGGTGGCAGTTGTTGTCGGCATGCGTCTGCCTCGATGCGATCAGCCGTCTCCATCGCCTCATCCTGGGCGGGCCGAAGACTGCCGCAGTCGGCGTAGTGGTGGCGGCGCTCCTCCCAGAACTGCTTTTCACCTTGTCCGCACTGTCTTCCTCGTTGTCGCCGACGAGGGGAGTTGCCTCGAGAGGCGGCCAAGGCGAGGAGGCTCGCCACAGACAGGTCACGACTCCATCCTGCGGCTCGGACAGCTCCAACAGCCTTTCGCGAGGTCTTCCCCCTTCCCAGATCTCGCCGCTCGAGTGGTCCGTCAGCTACGCATGCCGACATCCATCCGCCCGATGCCGACGAGATCACGGCGACCATCCGCACCTTGATCGCGGCAGCCACGACGGGAGTTCCTCCATCGTCGATGGCGACGAGGCGGAGCTCGACCTGCAATCCTCGCCCTCTGTTTGCGTGCGCCTCACACTCTCCCTGCTCCTCTCGAGGTCGTGCTCGACTGGCACCGCAGCAGACTCTCGACGTCAAAGGCAGGCAGGGTTGACTCCGAGCGGACGCGTCTTCGTCGGCCATGCAAGAGGCGAGGGCAGGAAGGAAACGGCGTGAAGGGGCTCTGCTGCGCCGCTTCGCACAGACCTCTCGCACCCACACAGCCCGGCTACTTTTTTTGCGCACAACGAGCCGGCCGTGGACAAGGCCGTGGACAAGCAGGTCACAGGCAAGCCGGTCAGGCTGGCTCGCAGCCGCCGTCCTCTCTCTTCCGCTGCCCTACGAGGGCAGCAACCGACAACCCGATGTTGCCCGATAGAGATGCGCGGGGCCAAGTTAAGCCAGTAGGAAGGCCAGACCAGGCCGGCCAGGCCGGGCTAGACGTGCCTAGCGTCCCTCGGGTTGTCAAGCGTCTTGCAGCCAAATCCCGGACGAGGCTAGGCCGCACGGCAGGCCCGGCGAGGGTGGCGCTGAGTCCGGGGCTCGTCTGCCTGCGCATGCAGCATGCACCAGATCCCGCCTTGCCGAGCGAGCGTCCGGCGAAGCCAGGCCTGGCGTCGCTCAGCCCTGCTCACGCGCTTCTTCGTTCGGTTGGTCAGCTCGTCGAGCTGCGCCTAGTCGGCCCGCTTCGTTTGCTGCCGGCCGGCCTGCCGCTGGTCCGACCGCCTGCGCGACCTGCCTGCCTCGTCCGATCGTCGCACCTGTCTCAGAACGCTGTCGAAAGTCAGCGAGCGCCACCTCATGCGGGCAGGCGGGCGTACGTGCGTGCGTGCGTGCGTCGCCGGCTTGGCTTGCCTTTGACCTGCTGCGCACAAAGAAGCAGCAGACGTCGACCGCCGGGCCTGTCCCCGCCTTGCTTCTTTTCTCAGCAGGGGGCCGAGGTAGGCAAGCAAGCACGCACGCACGCACGCACGAACCTCGCTCGCTCGCCTGTCCCCCCTGGCCTGGTCGCTCGTGGTCCAGGGGGGGCTTGTCAGGCGGGTCGCTGAGCTGCAAGCAGGCCGACAAGGCCCGCCTTCCCCAAGCTCGAGCGAAGGCGCCAGCTTCGCGCCAGGTCTAGCCGCGCCCAAGCTGTCCAGCCCCTCACGACTGAGAACGCGGACGGACGAGCGAGCGAGCGAGGCAAGCAGGTGCACGGTGGATGCGTGCGTGCCGCGCAAGGCTCGCTCGCCCGCCAGTCCGCTCGCTGGACGACCGTACGTCGTTTCTCGCGCTACGGCGTCTGCTCGTTGCCTGGTCTCATCCATATCCAAACGCCGTCGAGGGCCAACTGCTCGCTCGAGCTGGTCTCGCCATTTGGCCTTGCTTGCCCTCTTGCCACCGACAAGGCCCCACACTCTCTCTCTGCTATAAAGACCTGGGCTCGACCGGGACGGCCCTTCTTCCTCGCCTTGTCGTTTTCCCATCACTCGCCCCCCAATCTTCGATCCCGTCCGACCCCAGGCTTCTTCCCCGGTCGAGCGATCGCCACACGATATCGCGCGCAACCGAATCACTGCCTGCTTCTCGCGTCCAGCCATTTCCTCGTCTGTCCAACTCGCCCAACGCGGCCCGTGCCGCCAGCATACGATCGCCCGCTTGCAGCCGGTGAGTGTGCCGAGAGACCGGCGAAGCGGGACGAGGCGAGGTGGCCGCCGGACACAGCCTGAGCCGCTGCACTTGTTCGTGTTCCCTGCCCGCCGCAGGCTGGTATCTTCAACCAACACCTCTGCCGCCTCCCGGATCAGGGCCGCGCGTCCTCGTCGGATTCCAAGATGCCGCTTGGTAAGTCGATCGACGGCCTGCATCGCCACGGAGCGACCGAGCAAGCTCGACGTGCTGACCTTTGCCATCTGCGTCCTCCTGCTGACAGAGGGCAACGTGATCAAGGCGCTGTGAGTCTCGAGCTGCGACCGTCGGGTCGCCATCGATTGACTCGACAGACTGACGAAGCGCCTGTCTTCCCGCCATCGACGAGCCAGCACCGCCGCCAGCATCATGCTAGGCTTTGTCGTGGCAGGTGAGCGCCTCGTCTTTCCGAGTCTGAACAAGCCGAGCCCCAAGTCCACTGTGCTGACACCACTCCGTGTGGTCGGGGCGTTCCTCGTCGAGCAGAGGCGGTCTCATTCGTCTCGATCGACGCGCGACTGATCGTGGCGTCGTATCGCCATCGACAGCTCCGGCCGGCGCCGTGCGCGTACCTGCTGGCGCGACTCCTCTTCGTCGCCTGGTCGGTCCACATGTTTGTCTCTGTCGTCTTGATGACGCAGGGCCACGCCGTCGACATGCGCACCTTTCGCGGCGTGTCAATGGTGCTGCTGTCGCTGGTGAGTGCAGTGTGGCCGCTCCGTCCTCGTGCCGCATCGCCACGGGACTCCACGCTGACATGCAGCCCTTCCTTCGGTTTGGGTGCGTCCAGAATATGATGGCCTCGACCGCAATCCTCGCCTTGAGGTGAGTCGCCCAGCCTGTCCACTCTCTCCGTGATCCGGCCGCTCACGTCGCTGCCCTCGTCTGCTCGCCACGGAACCAGGGTGCTCGTCCTTCGACACAAGAGGCAGGCCAAGCGCCTCATGTGCTGCATGATCATCGTCCTGCTCTCGGCCCAGCTCCTCGCCGGTGCAGTCTGTGAGTCGGCCGCGGAGCGCCCGCCTGGGACCGAGTATCGGCGACGACGAGGCTGACCTGACGACCGACGGATCCACAGCAACGTACGCGTTTGCCTCCACCGACGAGCTCGAGATCGACCCCCGCCCGATCAGGATGCACGGGTGCGCCGTTGCGCAATTGTGAGTGGCGGCAACGCGGTCGGCCGGCAACGCACGCGTGCACTCCGCTGATGCTGGCGCGCCTCTGCCGCCATGCCGACCCCTTTCGCAGCGCGGTGACCCTGGCCCTGGACCTCTTCTTTGCCGGCATCGTCGTCGCCACCATCCGCAGCAAGGATAGCCAGGTGCGGGACTGCCGCGTCCTGCGCCTGCTGCTCATTGATGCGGTCGTCTACCTGAGCCGTGAGTCGCGTCTCTTCGCAGCTCGATGATCGGCGCCTGTGTGTCAATGGCCGCTGACCGCCGCAGAGCATTCGCGGTGCGCCTCCCACAGTGTCCTTCCTGATCAACGTCGTCACCATCGTGGCACTTTTCGCGTGGCGCCACAGCCTGCTGGACACGATCATCACCATTCGAGTCAACGTTCTGGTCTGGTAAGTGGTCGATTGACTCAGGATGGAGGTCTCGATCCGGCCGTGGGACACGCGTAGCTGACCTCTGCGTTACGACGCTGGACACCCGGCAGTACGGCCATTGCCTGCCGCATCTTCCGATCGCAGCTGGCCTTCTTTGAGACCCACCCGGCCAACAGCAGCTCCTCGCCGGGTCTGTCTGCCCTGCGGCCAAGGAGCAGGGACGCATCGCCCTCGGCATGTCCACGCAGCGACGCCCAGCCGCAGTACTTGTCGGCCGATCCGCCCCGCAAGGGAGACGACGGTCCGTCCTGCACGACTCTCACCAAGGCATCGTCGAAAAGCTGGACGGTCTCTACAGGCAGGCCCGAGGCTCGACCTCCGCTGCCCGAGGACATGCCTCCGAGCCTGCGCGTCCAGCTCGATGAGGCCGGCTGGAACGACTCGACGCTCCGGCTGGACGAGTTCGTACTCGTCGAGCCGCGTGGTCGCGCCAGCGGACGGTCTGGCAAGAGCGGCTCGTCGGCGTCTGTCGAAGCAGCCGAATGCTCCGGACAGTCTGGCGAGGCCGGCACTCTGCGCATTGTCCGCACTCTCGCACCGACGCACCCCTACTCGCTTCGCAGCCTCTGGAACGACGCGGCCGACGAGGCGATGGCCGGTCTTGAGCTACCGCAGCACGCCCTGGAGCCATCGCTGCCCTTTGCCAAGATCGGGCACGTCCGCAGGGCGATCGACTCGACGGCAGCCAGGGGCAGCCGCCTCGAGGCACTGAGGCCGACGAGCGGTCTTAGCAGCGCCGCCACGGACACCAACATCGACGATCCGGCCCTCCAGAGCAGCGAACACGAATACACGCCAGCCGCCAGCCCCTGTCCTGCCCTCGCGGGGCGCGTGGCGGTGGGCGATGGCGGCGACCTCGACGGACCGGACGAGGACGGGGCCGGGGTGCTGCATTGCGCTGCGGCCAAGTCGTCGGCTCACTCGCTGATCGACGCCGCCATCTCGCCGAGGACCAGGATGGTGTTTGACGCGTCGCTGGGCAGGTACGTCGTCGATGACGGTGGCCAGGCCGCGATCCGCGTCGGCGAGCACCAGCTGTCGGGCTCGACCATCGTCGTGGGGCGCATCTCGGACGCCAAGCACGGCGACGCCACGCCTCGCTCGCCCCGCGTCCGACGCCAGCCAAGGAGCGTCGACGCCGGCCCGGCTCAAAGAGGCAACGTCGACGGTGCCCAGCCTCGCCACGAGTCGCTCTAGGATGGGAGGATCGAGGAGGACGAGCAGGCTCGAATTCCCGGATCGGAACATGGCCCCCCAATCACCAGAAAGCCAGTCTCCACTGCAGCTCGACACCATCGTCGTCCTCGATACGCGCGGCCTCGATGCAGCCGGAAGTGACTTGCCGGCGGAAAGCGTGGAGCAGCAGCTTGTACACGTACTACATCGCGCCGTGGCCCACGCGGCGGCGGTGGCGGCCTTCTCATGGAACGCGATCGATTGACTCGAGCGGGCTGTGCGGTGTTGCGAGGGGGTCAGAGATCCGCCAGTTGAGAGAGCAACAGAGTCTCGAGGCCCTGCTCGATTTCATCCTGCCGCGCATCGCGCCGTACCGCGTGGCCGCGACCAAAGGGCAGTCCGTCATCGTCGGCGGCGACGGCGACGGCGTCATCGACATCGCCACCACCGTCGCCGCCGCCGTCGTCCTCACGGCTCGCCTTGCCCCGACCGCCTCGGCCTCGATCCTCGTCGTCGGAAGCTTCCGGATCGAGCTGCCACTCGGCCTCCCACGCCTCGATGGCGCGCTTCCACCGGACGCGCTCAAAGATGAGCCGGTGGGCGTGGAACCACGTCACGGCCGTCGAGATCCACGTCTCGTCGAGGCCGTCGTGCGACGGTGCCGCCGCCG